AATTACAGAGGCTAAGCTACTGTAATTATGGAAAAGAAGTCGAACTCAGAGCCTAAAGTATACTGATATAGCAAGATTGGTGTCTTGCAAATCCAAGGGATCATATTGAGCCATGTGTCAAGCTCTTGAAGGAGAAAATTTGAATTTGCCAAGTGTCATTCCATAAATGGAGAGGATCTTGACTTTAGTAATTAATTTCATTTGGAATTTTGTTAATTATGAAAGAGAAATCAAGACTTAGTAGGGTAATGACACTTGGACTATCATTAAAGAAGGTGGTTGAGATATTTTGGGACCATTAATCAAGCTCTTCTCTCCCCTATTTTCAGATGGGAGTTCAGCCAAGGGAGGAATTAAGAGGAAAAGAGAGAGCTTGAGAGAAAAGCAAGAAGAAAGTGAGCTCCTTTGGTCACACAAGCAAGGATCTAAGGTGAGTTCATGGTTCTAGATGTGTCTTGCTCTCTTTTCTTCCCTTTTTATGGTTGAAAAATCTGTCCCCTCTCTCTAAATAATGCTGGCCGAACTGAATACTTAGAGGGGAAGGGAGTTTTGCTCATCACACTTGTTAAAACACAACAACACAAGCTAGTTCCTAGTGTTTGCAAGTGACTATAGGTTGTTTTAAAGCATTTTTCATGGTTGTTTCTTTGAGTATTATTTTTGGCCAAGTGAGGAACTGAACCCTAGGATGAGTTTTTCATTGTTTTAAGGCTTCCATGATGCTTAAAATGAGGAATGGTGTAGGGTAGACTAAAAGGAACAAGTGTTGGAAGCTTTAAAGCAAAGTTGTGATTTTTGGTTCATGATTCCTTGTGGTTTGGTCAAAGGGAAACTGAAGGAGGCCATTTTATTTTCATAAATCTAAGCCCATTTTTGGAATCTACATGAAAATCCATGTAGGATTAAGTCAAGAAGTGATTTTTAGGGTTTAAAAGAATCAAGTTTAAAACTAGTGAACAAAGGAGGGAACTTTATGGTTCAAGAATCATTTTGATGTATGTTCTTGCTTTTTCATGGTTGGATAATGATTATGGCTGCCCTTTTTGATGGATTACATGGTTAGGGTTTGATGTTTGTCAAGGTAAAGAGGAGAAGGAAGAAAAGCTAAGACTTTTGGAGCAAGGTAGTGAGTTAAACCTAGCTACTACCACTAACTAGCATTATTGATTATTGTATGGTTAATTACTATTATTGTGGTTGAGCTTTCTTGATTGTCATGTGGCTGCTCTATGTAGTATCTTGCTTTGACCTTTTCATGTTTGAGTTTGCCAAATGATAAGCATTTTAGTTCACCAATGGTAGCTAATATGATCATGCATAATAATGATGCTTGCTTGGTGCTATAGTTGGTTAATTTGCTATTGGGATTTCCATGAAATCTCATTCTATATATGTAATCTAACATTTTAGGGCCTGAATCTTCAAAAGGGAAGCTGCAGATTGAAGGTTGATTTGTGGAGTTTAGCCACAAAATTTCGTGATAATATTTTGGTTATGTATATAATATACTAACAGCGCTGGAAGCACACTGACCCTGACTGATTCACGCTACTTTTTGATTATGCTCCTGAATGCGTTAAATCATGAAATTCGGTATGATAAAAGTTAACGTCCTGAGCTTCAAATTGATAGTGAATACGTTAAAAATGGACAAGTATACGATTTTTAGTGATATTCCAAAGTTAAAGGTTAGAATCTGGGAAAAAGAAATTTTGGCACTGGACAGAGCAGTGTTCCACAAAAACCTGATGGGTTTTCATAAAGAATTGACTCTTGAGATTATTTTTCCTTAAAATAGGACTTAAAGAGCTTTAATTTTGAACCACCCCAATTGGATTTTTGTGGAATAAGTTATGAATTTTTAAAGTTGGGCCAGAAAAACTGGATTTTTACCGGATGAACAGTAAAAATCCGAAATTTAGCGTTTTTGTGGTAAAAAGTGAGCCCAAGACCATCCAATGTGGTCTAAAATGATTTTCAAAGGAACCTAAGTCAAATAATAGTAAGGAGTGACATTTTTGGTATCAGAGTGGAGGTTTTGGCAAAAAATGGAACGCTCTGCTTAAGTATCCCCTAGATATTGGGTTAGTTAAGTAAGAACTAACACCTATTTTCAGGAATCAAGATGGGAATTACCATGGACTGGAATTGTAAGCCTGAGCCGTCGGTCAACAATTGGGATCCAGTAGTCATTGATCTTACCAAGGATGAGGGTCTGGAGGAATGGATGATGGGAGACGCCAACCCTGGCCATTCATCAGTATGCTCCAATGATTTGGCCGAGTGCTGTGTTGAAGAGTTAGGGATCACCACAGAGCAGCTGTTGTACCTTCCCGGACCCGGAGATCTAGTCAACCCTGTAACTGGTCTGTACCAGGAGCCATTAGATTTAGATCTTTATGTTCAGTCTCTTAAGTAGCCTGTTAACCCTACTATGCACCCATGTAATATCCCTGGACCCAGTACTGTACCATTTGTACCCCTAGCCCCCGTGATACCTGCAATACCTACTGTACCAGTTGTACCTACCCTAGTTCAGCCTAGTCATGAGATCCGTAGTGTGGGTCAGCTGAGTGATTGGCTGAGGTTCATAGGGCATCACATCAGGAGGGATGTTGATGCAGACCTGAGAGTACACCTAGACTACCTCCAAGGTGTGAGAGAGCTGTATCAGGCCCATGGACCAAGCAACCCTTATTTGGAACCTTATGATTGGCTGAGGGAGATAGTAGAGGTCCTACCTAGTACCCCTCTCTGGACCCATGACATCACCCGCCTGAACTACTTACTGGGAGATGATGTTGAGGATTGGATCCGAAGCCTCGAGGGCTTTGTTATCGTTCACTTTCTTTAGATGATTAGGATGTTCCTGTCACTGACATAGGATGTATTTTGGTACAGCTAACCCTAGTAGGTTAGGTTGTTTAGTGCTTGGTTGCTGTATGTTGATTGTATTTTGGCTGGTTGATGTTTAAGTGCTAATTGCTGTATGCCTGTTTTGATAATGAAATCTAAGCATGATATTTATTTTCTTGTTCCTTGTTATGCTATTCGGTTAGTTAAGCAATGGTTAGAACTCGATGAAACTCTTCGCCAGAGAGACCCTCAGTTCAGGACACAAGGGTCCCTCCCGATCCATTGTAGTTAATTCTGGATCGTCTCGAGCAACAGCAACAGACCATCGAGGAGATGAGGGCGGCACAAGCTCGCCAGGAACAAGAAAGGGATGCAGTAATAGCTACAGCAGCGGCAGTGGCATTAGCAAACCTCGACAGAAGGCAACCAGAGGAAGAGATCTCTGCAGCACAAGCATCATAACCATTGCCTAGGCTGGCAATGCCAGTAGCAGACCCCGACAGTATCCAACAGTGGATGACTCGCTTTTGCAAACACAACCCGCCGACATTTGATGGAACATTTGATGTCCAAGTAGCGGAAGACTGGATTAACTGCCTAGAAAAGATCTTTAAAGTATGATTGAACCCAATTGTTCTATGTTATTTCATATCATAGATTTTGGCTCCTTTTGATGATAATTGTGCTTAATTTAGATTAAGAGTCCTTACTTTGAGTTAGTGTATTTTTGAGGTTAAAATTGTCATAATTGGTTATTAATTGTATTCAGTTGATTTCTAGGACAATTGATGCTTCAAATTGTTGCTTTTTTTATTGTAGGACACTTGAGAATTAGAGCCAAGACCAAGGACCAAAGGATGACACAACACAAGATCAGAATATCAATACTGGAACACTTTGTCGCGGCAAAGAGAATTCTTCGCTGTGGCGCAACATGAAATTCTCACCAGTGATTCTCAGGCAGAGTTCACCGCGGCCAACTTACAGTTTCACCACGGCAAAATCACAAAATTAGGTGAAGTTCCTCTCGGGCATGCTTCGCTGCAGCGAACTCTTCGTATCAGCAACGCCAGACCCGAATCAGAATGCAAAAATAGAGCCTCTAATCATAAGATCCGACCCATTCCACCCTTTTACATGTTGAGAAACCCTATTTTCAACAGCACACTCCATTCTATCATCTCCAACACCTCTATTCTCCCATCCTCTTGCCTCTCCATCTCCATCTTCTTCCTCATCCATTTCCTTCACCTTTTCTTCATTTCATCTCATTTTCTTCCACTCCCAGCTACCGTGGTTGATAGATTCACTTTGGTTGGAGTTTTTCTTGAAGCTATGGAGGGCTAGGGTTTATCAACTCTTGAAGAATAGTGGTGTGGCATGAGTTTCCAGACTTCAAAGGGGAGTTTAGTTTCAGCTTTCAATTTTTAGCTATGATTTATGGCTTTCTAGCTCTTGGAGTTGTAAATTGTTAGTTAAGAACTTGGGATTGTTACTGTAATCATTGGTTAATGATTAACATTTGTAATTTGGATTGATTGATGTTGAATTTTGTGCTTAAATATATGTAGTTGCATATATGCTTATTGTAACTCTCATGATTCTCTCCTATCTTGCGTGGTTATGTTTCGGTACTGAGTTGATTGTGTGTTACATTGAGCCAATTGCATGATCATTCCAAATTTACACATTAGGGAAGCTAAACAAAGTTTTCATTAATGAAAGCTTTGGACTCCTTGAGTTAATGAGGTTCTTATTTAGAAAACCTAATGGATTTGTGAAACTCCCAATATTTAAGTGAACTATGATTGCCATCAAAACCATTTTCAAGAGATTTCCTATCAATCATTTCCATTACATCATTATTATCTTAAAACACTAAAAACACAGTATCTTAGGTTTGTTTTCATTGCATTCAAGTTTAGGCACCATTCATTTAAATCTTAAAAACCCAAAACCCCATTTCATTGCATTGCATGGCATTTAGTCTAGCTTAGGTAATTAATAAAGGCTCCCAAAAGTGAAACGACATGAGTTTGCACTATACTACATAGCTTGGATTTATTTTTGATTGAGAACCCCAAGGCGAACGACAAAAGGCTCTCGTCAAAGTACTAGACTGCCCAACAGAGCGAAAGGCCCAAATGGCGATATATAAGCTAGAGAAAGATGCTGATCGCTGGTGGACGAACACTGAAATTCTTCTCAATGCTCGGAACACAACGTTGACTTGGGAAGTGTTCCTGGAGCAGTTCTGTGAGAAGTATTTTCCGAGATCTGTCCGAGATGAGAGGGAAGTAGAATTTTTAACTCTGAAGCAAAGAGATGACAAGCCTTTTGATGAGTACTTGGCTAAGTTCATCAGTCTATCTCATTATTCAAGCTATCTCCGATATAGAGACAATGAGAGGTGGACAACAGAGAAGATGGTTCGAGGACTGAGGCCATCATTGAGGGAGATGATTGCTCCCAGACAATTCAAGCAGTTCAATAAAGCAGTGGAAGCTTGCCGAATCACAGAAAGCAGCTTCAACCATCATCTGATGGTTAAGACAACTCCCAGAGCAGAGAAGGGAGGTTAAGGAGGTCAGGGTGGCACCTCATCTAATGCAAGTAAGAAGAAGAAGCAACCTTGGAATAACCGCAAGAACAAGAAAGGCAATAAGGCACCGAAGGGCAAGGAGTGTGCAAAGTGTGGCAAGAATCACGGTGACAGACCGTGCATGGCTGGACAGAATGTTTGCTACACCTGTGGTAAACCTGGACATTTCTCAAGAGAGTGCCCACAGAACACTGAGCAGGCTAGACCACGCACCCAGGGCCGAGTGTTTGCCATCACAAGAGAAGAAGCTCAGAAGTCTCCAGAGATGATCCAAGGTACGATCATGATTAACAATTCTCCAGTGATTGCAATGTTTGATTCGGGTGCTAGTCATTCTTTTATTTCATATGCCTGTGCGGAAAGACTTGGCTTGAGTATAAATACAATGCCATATGATATACATGTGTCAACCCCAACGCAGAGTAGGGTAATTACATCTGATGTGTGCCTGAACTGTATAGTTTGTTATGAGCACTGTTGCACTGCTATAGATTTGATATGCATGCCTTTCCATGAGATGGATGTGGTGATTGGACTCAATTGGTTGTCATCCCACAATATCCTAATGGACTGTAAGAACAAAACCCTAATCTTACCCACGAGGGATTTAGAGTTAAATCATAAAGTTAGATTGAATTTCATTATGGAAGCCTAAGCGAGCAAATGCTTACGAAAAGGCTGTCAAGGATTCCTCGTCTTCTTCTTAGTGCAAGTCGAAGTTAAAGAAGGGATAGGAGAAATCCCAGTGGTTAGGGAATTTCCGGAAGTGTTTCTGATAGAGATCACAGGATTACCCCCAGACAGAGAGGTAGAATTCACAATTGACATAGTACTTGGAGCAGGACCAATCTCTAAGGCCCCTTATAGAATGGCTCCCAATGAAATGACAGAACTTAAGAAGCAGATAGAGGAGTTACTTAAAAAAGGTTTTATTAGACCAAGTGTATCGCCATGGGGTGCTCCAGTGTTATTTGTCAAGAAAAAGGATGGTAGTCTAAGGCTGTGCATAGACTACAGGGAGTTGAACAAAGTCACAGTTAAGAACAAGTATCCGCTCCCTAGGATAGATGATCTGTTAGACCAGCTAGTTGGTGCCAGTGTATTCTTTAAGGTTGATCTTAGATCTGGCTACCACCAACTCAAGATTAAGTTTGACGATCTCTCTAAAACTGCGTTTAGAACTCGATATGGGCACTATGAATTTTTAGTGATGCCGTTTGGATTGACGAACGCACCTGCGATATTCATGGACTACATGAATAGGATTTTTCGTTCTTACTTGGATCAATTTGTGGTCGTATTCATTGATGACATCTTAGTGTACTCTAAGTCTCCAGAAAAGCATGAGAGGCATTTGAGGATTGTCCTAAATACCCTGAAAGAGAAACAGCTGGTGGCTAAACTGAGTAAGTGAGAGTTTTGGCTCCAGGAAGTCCGATTTCTCGGCCTTGTGATTTCCCGAGAGGGAGTGGCTGTCGACCCCAGTAAGATTGAGGCAGTACTCAACTAGAAAAGACCCAAGACGGTGACAAAGATCAGAAGTTTCCTCGAACGAGTGGGATATTACAGAAGATTCATCCAGGACTTTTCTTGAATTGCTCTTCCGCTAACCAAGTTAACTAGGAAGAACCAGCCGTTCTTGTGGGACGAGAGGAGTGAGGCTAGTTTTCAGGAGCTAAAGAGGAAGCTCACTTCTACTCTCGTACTTATACTTCCCAATCCTTCACAACCATATGTGGTTTATGCAGATGCTAGCAAGCAGGGACTGGGATGTGTACTTATGCAACAAGGACAGGTAGTAGCCTACGCCTCACGCCAGTTGAAATCTCACGAGGAGAATTACCCGACCCATGACCTAGAGTTGGCAGCGATAGTTTATGCACTAAAGATATGGAGACACTATCTGTATGGAGCAACAGTAGAATTGTTCTATGACCACAAAAGTCTCAAGTACGTTCATGATAGAAAGAGTTGAATATGAGACAACGAAGGTGGATGGACTTACTTAAAGACTATGATTTTCAAATTAAGTACCATCCAGGAAAAGCGAATGTAGTCACGGATGCCTTAAGTAGAAAGACAGTACAAGTAGCATCGCTAATGATTAGAGAGCAGAAACTGGTAGAGGATTTCAGAGATTGGGGTCCTCTGTATCAGATGCAGTTAGTAGAAGGAAATAGAGGTAGAACCCAGTTTACAGCTTAGGACATCATGCACCCTGTCACATCCAGCATTATGGTAATTAGAGATAAGAAATATTCTCAAATTATTGAGGATTAAAAATGATAAGGAAAAGTCAAAGGATTTTGGTGGAAAATAATTACAGTAATTTTCCAAGCCAATTATAAGAAATTGACTAGTTAAGGAAAATTGGTCAAATGTAAATAAGGAAAAATATTTCCAAGCCTAGGAAAATTAAGGAAAAATAGGGATAATATCCTTTGAGGGTTATATGAAATTATAAAGTTGGTTTTATGACCAAATTACCCTTAGAGAAATTATGAGAGAATTAAAGGGTGATTTGGGCTAATTAAGGGATTTTATTTGGAAAATTCCAAATTAATATTCTAAGAGGAATAAAACTCTAAGAAAATTCCTATAAGATCTCAAGGAATTATAAGTAATTATGAAATTAAATGAAGACCCTCAAGTATCCAAGATTTTTCCAAATAATGATGAAAAGTGGAAAAGTCCCTAAAGAGAAGGAAATTAATTTTCCTTTTTAATTAATTATTAGGAAATTAATTTTGAGACAAAGAGGGCAATTTGGGAAGATAATAATGAGGAGAATAAACTAAGGATCTCACAGAAAATAATTACAAAGGCTAAGCTACTGTAATTATGGAAAAGAAGTCGAACTCAGAGCCTAAAGTATACTGATATAGCAAGATTGGTGTCTTGCAAATCCAAGGGATCATATTGAGCCATGTGTCAAGCTCTTGAAGGAGAAAATTTGAATTTGCCAAGTGTCATTCCATAAATGGAGAGGATCTTGACTTTAGTAATTAATTTCATTTGGAATTTTGTTAATTATGAAAGAGAAATCAAGACTTAGTAGGGTAATGACACTTGGACTATCATTAAAGAAGGTGGTTGAGATATTTTGGGACCATTAATCAAGCTCTTCTCTCCCCTATTTTCAGATGGGAGTTCGGCCAAGGGAGGAATTAAGAGGAAAAGAGAGAGCTTGAGAGAAAAGCAAGAAGAAAGTGAGCTCCTTTGGTCACACAAGCAAGGATCTAAGGTGAGTTCATGGTTCTAGATGTGTCTTGCTCTCTTTTCTTCCCTTTTTAAGGTTGAAAAATCTGTCCCCTCTCTCTAAATAATGCTGGCCGAACTGAATACTTAGAGGGGAAGGGAGTTTTGCTCATCACACTTGTTAAAACACAACAACACAAGCTAGTTCCTAGTGTTTGCAAGTGACTATAGGTTGTTTTAAAGCATTTTTCATGGTTGTTTCTTTGAGTATTATTTTTGGCCAAGTGAGGAACTGAACCCTAGGATGAGTTTTTCATTGTTTTAAGGCTTCCATGATGCTTAAAATGAGGAATGGTGTAGGGTAGACTAAAAGGAACAAGTGTTGGAAGCTTTAAAGCAAAGTTGTGATTTTTGGTTCATGATTCCTTGTGGTTTGGTAAAAGGGAAACTGAAGGAGGCCATTTTATTTTCATACATCTAAGCCCATTTTTGGAATCTACATGAAAATCCATGTAGGATTAAGTCAAGAAGTGATTTTTAGGGTTTAAAAGAATCAAGTTTAAAACTAGTGAACAAAGGAGGGAACTTTATGGTTCAAGAATCATTTTGATGTAATGGTTGGATAATGATTATGGCTGCCCTTTTTAATGGATTACATGGTTAGGGGGATATTTGTCAAGGGAAAGAGGAGAAGGAAGAAAAGCTAAGACTTTTGGAGCAAGGTAGTGAGTTAAACCTAGCTACTACCACTAACTAGCATTATTGATTATTGTATGGTTAATTGCTATTATTGTGGTTGAGCTTTCTTGATTGTTATGTGGCTGCTCTATGTAGTATCTTGCTTTGGCCTTTGCATGTTTGAGTTTGCCAAATGATAAGCATGTTAGTTCACCAATTGTAGCTAATATAATCATGCATAATAATGATGCTTGCTTGGTGCTATAGTTGGTTAATTTGCTACTGGGATTTCCATGAAATCTCATTCCATATATGTAATCTAACATTTTAGGGCCTGAATCTTCAAAAGGGAAGCTGCAGATTGAAGGTTGATTTGTTGAGTTTAGCCACAAAATTTCGTGATAATATTTTGGTTATGTATATAATATACTAACAGTGCTGGAAGCACACTGACCCTGACTGATTCACGCTACATTTTGATTAAGTTCCTGAATGCATTAAATCATGAAATTTGGTATGATGAAAGTTAACATCCTGAGATTCAAATTGATAGCTAATACGTTAAAAATGGACAAGTATACGATTTTTGGTGATTTTCCAAAATTAAAGGTCAGAATCTGGAAAAAGAAATTTTGGCACTGGACAGAGCGGTGTTCCACAAAAACCTTATGGGTTTTCATAAAGAATTGACTCTTGAGATTATTTTTCCTTAAAAGAGGACTTAAATAGATTTAAATATAATTTTGAACCACCCTAATTGGATTTTTGTGGAGTAAGTTATGAATTTTTGAAGTTGGGCCAGAAAAACTGGATTTTTACCTGATAAACAATAAAAATCCGAAATTTAGCGTTTTTGTGGTAAAAAGCGAGCTCAAGACTATCCAATGTGGTCTAAAATAATTTTGAAAGGAACCTAAGTCAAATAATAGTAAGGTGTGACACAGCCTAACAATCTCCTTAATGTAAAGTCTCGCTAACGTTTCTAGAGAATCTTTAACATTCATAGCGAGAAAGTGCACAAACTTAGTCAGACGGTCCACTATGACCCATATCGCATCATGTTTAGCTACTGTTATTAGTGACCCCACTATAAAATCCATAGAT